CTCTTTCTCTGGGCCAGAAATGATGCTGGGCTCTACAGCTTCCTTTTCTGTTGACTGGCAAGATGGTACTTTGTCAGGTAGCTGCTGTTGCCACCAACTGCAAAGCTCACTAGAGTATAATGACACCTCCTGAGCCGCTTCTTTTATGCGTTAACCTACTTGGAAACAGAGGCTCATGTGCAAATTCCCGCTGTATTTTGTGAAGGCTGGAACATAAGCCAGATCTGAGCTGAATTTCCCCCTTCCAAGAGCCAGCTGAATCAAAAATCCCCTGATGCAGACATCCCCAAATTTTATGGGTGCAAAAGATGTCTTGATCCAAATTTTGCAGTTTGCTCCCATCTCTGCTTAAAACATAAAATGTATGTTTTTAGGGAAAAAGGATATAAACATCTTGTTCATGTTTGAGCTGAGAATGTCTTTTTTCTGTAGGCTGTCAACACAACTTCAAATGCATGCAGCCTGTCCAATCTGACAGACAATTTGCATATTTGTGGAATGCTAATGCCAAGTTACTGTATACATTTGTACATGAAAGCATTAGAAAGTTTGAAGGATTAAAGGTGGAAATGTATCCCCCTCGGCCTCGATTAGAGATCAAGACAGCACATCAATAGATGGCAGACAAATAACTGCTGCTTTGCCGTTTGGAATGGCTTAACCCAAAAATAATAAAATCCAAGCTATTTCCTAGGACATAAATAGCTGAGGGCTTTACACGTGCTAATTGCCAGAGCGTTGTTTTAGCCTTTTGAGAGTGTAATGTGGAGTCTGGCACATCCAGTGTGAGCCCTCTGACACAGCGACCGTCTTTTTGTTCTGCCCTAGCCACGTGCCTGGACCGCAGCTAGAGCTCTGAGAGCCATCCCAGCGTAAGGAATCCATGTTGATGTCTAGGGCTGAGCCTTCCTCGCTTGCTCTCAAGTCCTGGAAAGTTCTTTGAGGCCAGATGGAGGTGCTTGGCCCGTACAAAAGTGACTTGGTTTGCCATGAGAAGGGGTGTCAGGAGGAGCAGCAGCAGGTGCTCCACGGTTTCCCATAGAAGGATGCTTCCTTGGCTGCGTGCGTCAAGATATATTTTGGAGCCTGGCTCCAGACACGCTGATTTGAAAATGGAGACTAGGAGTCTTAAAAACAAAATATGCTAAAGAACGGTTTTGCATGGTTGCTCTGAAGGATCAAAACCTGATACTATTTATTTTACTCGTACTAAAAAATAACCTCAATAAGATGTTCTGCGTTGGCCAATGGATATAATTTAGGGCCAGACATTGGCAGCGCAGGACAGAGAAAGCAGGAGCTAGTCAAATCCTTCCCCCAGTCTTTCATCCAAAACATGAATATTCCTTTGATTCAGAAAGGGTTTGGCCAGCCTTTTTCGCAAACGGTTGCATGTCTCTGCGCTTTCTGGCTGGGGGGAAGTGGAAGTGGCAAAGCCTCAGATACCTGGGAACCAAGAGCTGAAAACTCTCCTGGAAACTTCTCATGGTCTAACGAAATTCCCGGGCCAGATTCCAGCCTGAGCGGATGCAGACAACGAGCCAAATTGAACCACCAAATCTGTTGCGATTCAGCCGTCATTTACAAAAGAGGGCTGGGATTTTCAAGGGAGTTTGTAGGAGCTGAACACCCAAATCTTTTAAAATCCTAGCGGGACTTTTGCTCCTCTCTTTCTTGTAGTCCACTGAAAATCCTTGTCTATTAATTTCAAATATTTTGAAGACCTCAGGCAGCACTTTCATTATAGGCAAACCTCTCTACCAGAATTAGAAAAGCACAAAATTTTAGCTGCAGTCGCTGAAAATCTGTGATTTAACACACCTACCCAAAAAGCCCCAGGCTACACCGAAGCTCTTGACCAGAGATAGCTCTATGCTGTCACAAGACAGATCTATCTTTAGGTACCCCAGTTTGAAAACTTCACCCTTAATGCGTTCAGAAAAAGTACGTTGTTGTTTTAGAGCACATTACTCAAACACTAAGATGCCTTTCTACTGGGAGCAGCATTACAAAGCTGAGCTCTGCCTGGATGCCTATCCAGCATGGATCTGACAATTCACATGTAGGAAAAGGCCTCTCATGCATTCATAGTTTAGATGACCTCCATATATTTGTTTAAAAAATAATTAGGCTTGCTTAGCTTTTGTACTGTTGCATTTGCCTTTTTTTTTTTTTTTTAAGTAGCTTTTCCTGTAACACTCCCAGGCCAGTACAATGCTGGCTTTTAAAAGTGATTTGTCTGTTACCAGGCAGTTTGAAACTTTTACTTCCTAAGTCCTTGCAAACCAGCAGTACAAGGAGACTTAAAAAAAAAAATCTCCTGAGGATTATTTTTATAGTAACAGTGAAAGCTTAAAATGTTGCAGCGGCAGCCAAATTATTTTTCTTGTAGTGGAAACAATACCAACAACTGGATACTGTGCACAAAACAGTTTAAAGCTACCCATAAAAATTACCAACAAATGAGTGCTACATTTCTTTTTATCATTTACTCTTTATAAAAAGTGACAGTTTGAAGGCTACTAATTTGGCAAGTTATTTCCCCTCTATAGTCATGGTTGTTCAGTAATTAGAGGATATATAAAACATGGACATAGACATTCTAGTACAGTCTAACATTTTTGTGTGGTTTAGGACAAAGTCCACTTCCTTTCTCACCCACTTATGTAAAAGGTGGTAGACATATGCAAAATCTAACCATAGGACTAAGTTTGATTTCAGACAAAACTTTCAAGTACATGCTCATAATGAAAGTCCAGCTCCTATTAACCTTCCTAAATTGTTCAGAATGAGGATGTACAAAAAAGTCCAGTTACCTCAGGGCATACAGGAATATTTTCTCCTGTGACTAAACAAATGACTTCTTGAGCACAGTTGAAATCAAACATTTAAAATACTATTAATTACTAATGCTAATGGTTTAGTTGTTTTTTTTCTTTTTAAAGTCATATGTGCTATCCTTAGGTAAATAATTACTTTATTGAATCTTTCACTAAACATAGTATTTGGCATCTAAGCCCCTCTGTCTTCCTTAAAAATGGCACTGATGTTCTTAAGTCACTTAGGTGGGTTTTGAAATCTCTGTCTGATATTTCATCATGTATTTGCTGGCAGCAGCCCTTTCTATACCTGCAAGTAGTAAAAAATATATTGCTTCCTCTGAAAGTAAAGAGCTAAAAATAAAACAGGACTCAGTTTAGTCAACATAAAGGCAAACTAGAAAACCATTAGTTGAAGAAACTGAAATAAGAGAACTCAAAGTTCTGGCTGCAGAGCCGGGAAACGCTTCAACAGGACTTGCAGCAGTTGCTGGTCTAATTCTGTGTCCGTGGTAGTTGTGGCTGGGCTCCCAGAGGCCAGTGTGGGGATGCTCTGTGGGGCCCATGGGAGGGTTAGGCAGCTCCTGGGGGCATTGTTAGGGGTTGGCCCCCTGGCACGTGCCCCGTGGCATCCCTCTGTTATGTGTGTGATGCAGGACCAGTTACTCCAGTAATAACTGTTTTACCTGCCCAGATGAAGTGTTGAAGGTAAGGACAATATTTGATATGGGGTGCATGGCTGTACTATAAACTTGGCTGTTTGTCCTTCAAATTTGATGTGCAAGTGCTTGTCTGTTGGGTATCCCAATTGTGATGCTGTAGCTGTATATTTGGAGTTTATCAGGTCCTAGAGAAAAGGAAAAAATGGTTCATAGGCTGAAACCTCCCCAAAGCCTCCATTAGCTAATAATTACCTACTAATTTGCATTAATACTGGCCATGAGAGATAGACCAAAAGCCCTGGTCCATAAGATGGAGATTAAGCCAATAACTTTCCAAAACAAAAAAAGTCTTAGTTCTAAGTACTTTTCTAAATGTTCACTATCACTGCAAGAAACTCTGTTCCACTGTATATAAAACATAGCGGAGTAATAACATCTCATTTGATTATACAAAGTAGTTTTTTCCTTAGTGTTTTAGTTCTCAAAATTCCCAGAATACACCACATGGAAACTGTTCACTTGAGAAATTAAGTACCGTATGTGATAAGACAGTCATGTGAAATTTTTAAGCTGTCATTAAAAATGATTATAATTAGGACAAACTATATGAAAATGCTTTAAAATTGAGACCCTGGTGAATTAAAAATTAAGGGGTATATTATGTATTATCATGTTGAAGGGCAGGGATTTACTCGTGTAACTCCCATTAACACTAATGTGAGTTGCATCCCCAAATCCCCACGCCTGGCGATGAGCATCCGCCCCCACGTTTGTTGTCACTGAACAACCTCAGCTTCCTCGGTACTCCAACACAATTCCTCTGCCTGCTGAGAACAAGTGGAACGGCAAATGAGAAGTTTAAACTGTTTTCCCTCACAAATCTAGGCCCCCAGACGGAGCCAAATGTAATTCATCTAAGCAGTAGCCGCGCTCCCGTAAGATTTACTCAGGAAAAGTAACTGTCACAGCGTCTGCTCTTCCCTGTAGCTCTTCCTGTGCTTCTTCTGCACACTTAATAAGTAAGGGTTGGGTTGAAATAATTTTAGCGTGTCTCCTCTAAATGCAGGAAGCCTATTGCTGGGGGTGGGCTTGAAAAAGCATTTCAGTTGAGAGCCTTCAAAAGGAGCTGTATCCATGGCAGTGTGGAGCTCCCACAGGAGGAGGGAAAGTGTGCTGTAAGGACAGTGGAAATTAAACACTGTGTAATTAAGCACACCTCTGGCCCTGGTGGGGCCGTAGGACTGGTGTCTGAGCAGCACACAGGAGCTTACCCAGTGGCTGTGCTGGGCTTTGGGTCACACTCAAGTGAAGGATGAGCTGCTGGTGCTTGGGCTGCAAAGTATTGCCAGTTCATTTTAGTCTCAGGATAGCTGGCACTTTCCTCATAGCCCCAACATCAGCAGTTATGGCAGTTTACATCTTGATTTTCACTGGAAAAAAATGTGGTCCTTGTTTTTGCAAGAAAAACTTTTATAATTGAACCTTAAAAGTTGATTTATTTATTTATTTATTTATTTTTAGATTCTTGACCTGTATGTAATTTTCATGCATGTGGTCTTAGAGTCCGTCTCTTGCTCTCATTGTCACATCTCCTCCTTTTACACCCCTGGATTTGGCACACCACTAAGGTAAGCCAGTGCATCTGTTGCTTGGGGCTTGCTGAGAGTCTGCTAGTAATGCTCAATAGAAATGTCCTCTCCTACTGCTTTTATAAATGCACCCATACCACTTCTATTTAAAATACATTAAGAAAATGGTCATATTGCCACACTATAGCTTGAAGGAAAGAAAAACCCCTACAAACTACAGCTCATACTTTGTACCTTTCTATGGTGTTGCAAAATTGTAATTATACTAATACACTACATTCTTAACAACATCTTTTCCCTGGGGCAAAATAAATAAATCTAAATAAAATAGATACAAGTAGAGGCAGTACATATCCTATTTTATTAATTAGCACCTGAGAAAAACATTTTGCCAAGCCAGAAAAAGCACGGATTAATTTTCAAGCAAAGTAACGAATGCCAGGTTTATTTCTTTATTGGTACCTGTGGATTCTGTTGTATTGCTTGTTAACAGATGCAAGTGGGCAATATAACTATTACATCAGGCAATAATATAGAAACCCAGGCAGTTTCTAAGCAACAGCCCAGCACTGATTCTTCTCAGCTATTCTCTAGGATTCCCTCAGACACAGTAAGTGAAGAGGAGTTGGACAATATAGTCTAATTTTGAGAAAGGAATAAAGCATGAAACTGGTGATTTTCAAAATCATATTTTTGCAGATTTCTTACCAAATCAAAAGAGCTAAAATTGAAAACTGTCAAAAACATTTCAGCTCAAGAGCTGCATAAACTTTTCTATTGTTCAGGCAGCTAAACAGACACAGCTATTTTGCTTCATACCTTGCCCACAAAAATAATGAAAATAAAGATCATAATAATAGAGCCTCTTCAGCTTGTTGGACTGAAACTGGATTTTGTGAGGTTTCCTTTTGCAGACTCACTCATCAGCTTAGCCTAAAAGTAAAACATTTTTCCTCTGTTCTGTATGAATTCCATGGTCAGTCAAATCTGGCTGCTGACAGAAAAATTCATAATAAATCATTTTGTTTAAGCCATATAGATTCTGTGTGTGTGCACACAATCTTGTGTGTACACAAGATACAAGGGTGTATTTTAAAGCAGTGTCACCCTCAGATGTCACTGGCTGATTCAGTTTCTTAGCCTACACACTGCATATTGCAAACAGAACATCTGCTTTATATATAACTGGGGATTCAGTGAAGCTCAAAGCTGGGATCTTTGTTATGATCCATAACTTTCCTTGGAATAGACCAACCCAGGCTTGGACTCTCTCAGAATATGGAGAACATTGTTCCTGCCCTTGGTTCGAAACCTGAAGTTGACACAGAGTGCCATATTGGACTAAACCAAACTTTGAAGGAGGACAGTGCTCTTTCATCTCTGTATGAATAACGCCCTTTCAGAAAACAGTTTATATTTAGAACAAATAAGACCAGACATACATGCACACACACATACTTACAGGCACACACTTAGAGACCCAAATGCACCCGCTTCCAGGAGCACAACCATGAAAAAGCAAGAAGAAAATATTGTAAACCAGATGTTCTCTGGGTTTGAATGCTCCATTGGTTTCCATACACCATGTAAGGTTCTGGTCTGCTAAGGGAGTAGAAGCAAGTTCAATATTGGAGCTTGCAGTGCCAACAGTTTTGCCTTGTTTGGGAGGTGGGAAGCCATGGCTTTCTTCACTCAAGTCTGACTTTTTGCAAAAAAACCTGATGACATTTCCAAAACAAAATTCTCCATTGAGGTATTTGAGTTATGGGACAAAATACTTTCCTTTTTGGCCAAAAAAAAAAAAAAATCAAACTCATTCACAGGAGTTATGGTTGCACACCTTGAGTCCCTTGTTCTCTGGGCTTGTCCCCCCTCATTTTTGTGTTACAGTGATACATTAAGAATGTGCACGATGGAGACACTGAACTTCTGGGTGCTGTGGGGTGCATGGGTGCAGAGGTGGGTTATACCCCAGGCACCCAGGCTGTGCCTTCCACCAGGGAACTGATCCAGTGGATAGGATTCAATGACTTTTCTGTGTTTTCCCTACCAAACTGTTCCAGTTTTCAGGTCTTAGATATTTTTCAAATAATCCTTAAAAGATGGTTTGAGAAACAGACACTTTCCACTCCCTCAAAGGGGAAGAGAAATATGCATCTCAATGAAAAGCCCATTTTCTATTAAAAACCAGTTTTGGTGAAATGAAGTCACCCAACCATACAACCCAGTCCACACAATTTCCACGTATTTCCATCTGCTCCTTCTTCCCCTCCCAGTCTCCAAACCATGCTCTGCCTTCCTGATACATATTGACGTGATAATTAAATCCCGAAGAAGTATGAATGCTTTAGCTTTAACAGAAAGCCAGGTTACTATTCCTATCGTGGAAAGTTAAATGAAATCATGCTGTGAGGGAATTCCTATTGATTTCTTCAGGATTGATCAGAAACATTTGTCAAACTTTTGTTTTCTTTCTGTCCTACGTCTTCTTTAGACACATAGTTAAACATACTAAGGAATGTTTACATTTTAAAAATGTGTTCTAAGGTCTTTATATAAACATACATGTAATAAAAGTGACTGGTGATTTATATTATCTATATACATTCAGATACTTTATTTTCTAAGCCAAAGTTTTAAAAAATAGGTGCCTAAATTCAGACACCTAAGTCTATGTTTACAGTCTTTGGTTGCCTGATTTTCAAACATGTTAGTACTTAGAAACTTTTTTTCTGTTAAGGTGCCTAGAAGTTTTGGACACAAACACTGCATTGGGCTGTTTTTCATCTATTAGAATCAGAAAGGGAAAATTAGAGATTATAAATGCACAAAAGATGTAAAGGCATAAGTAAGAAAACTGTAAATCCACAGGCTTTTTGCATTTTTAATTGAAGAAAATTATTTGCATTGGTACAAGGCACATGATTCATCCTTGCTCACTGAACTTGAACCCAAACCCCCCTTCGCAGCATTTGTCTTTTCTTCTTTAGGTTCACAGTGAGGCCTCCCGTTTCAAAAATGCGTGTGTGCTCCTGCACCTAATGTACATGCATATTCAGTGTGACTGCATATGGAAATGGAGCATCCATGCCAACAGTTTTCCAGCCAACAGGCTTTTTGCATGTGTGAGTCTCGGAGGGTTCTGTGCTTTTGGGGTAATTGCGCGTGTAAATCCAGCGGGCAGTCACACACTCAGCTATAACCTGTACAGCTGCATTAATGCCTTTTTTTAAACCATCTCGCAAAAGCTAGTGAGAAAAATGATACCATTTTAGACACCTGGCCCTTGAAATAATAATAGAAAACTCCTAAAAACTGATTATGGATCGTGAAATGATGTGGTTCAGCTTTCAAAACCTGCCTCTGCGTCCCCCTCATAAACACAGGTCACTCTTACATTTAGGCACTCTAAGATTTGTGTTTTTAATTACAAGCAAATCATTTTTTGAGGCAGTAAATATAAGTTGATGCTGTTCTAAAATCCAAAGGGAGAAAGTTAATATTAAAAAAAAAAAGAAATAGGAAGAAATAAATAAACATATAACAAGAAAAAGTTAGGGGAGCAGCTGTGTAAATAATGCAAACAATGTTAAAGAATAAAAGGAAACTGCCAGAGCCACTTGGGATGTGGAAGGAGCCTAAAATTCCTATTACTCTAACTAGGTCTGGCTCATTGCTTGTGCCTGTTTTTTTCTGCCAGCCCCAGGTCTGCCTTAGAAGGCACTTTCTTGAAAGGCAACGGAAAAAGGGAAGGAAAATGAGGTTATCCCATAAAATAATCTACTACTATTTGGTAAGGGCACAGGAATAGAGAATGAAGCAATGGTTTAATATTGGGACCAGAACCTGTATGAAGTCATTAGCTGAACATTTACTTCATTCATTAGTGCAGAGTAAATGCTGAATTGTGCTGAGGTCAATGAAAAATTTCCACGGTTTCCCTTGCAGGCTTTACTCATTCAGGAAAATGCTCTGAATGTCGAACTCCAAGATACGTTTGTGCACCTGGAGCTCTGCACTTGGAAGCCAGCAAGGTGAGAAAGGCATCTCTAACGTCCTGGGGGCAGGCGACCTGTGGTTTTGGGTGAGTTCTCCACTCGTTTGAGTTTTGAAACAGTTTTCAAGGTCTTGAAGATAGTCTATGATCAGCAAGGAGAAAAACAAAATCAAGTAATGAACATGCTCTTGTCACTTAGAAGTTGCATATAATAAATCAGTACCATAAAATACCATGGTTTACCCTAAGTAGAGAACTGTTGCTTGGATGTATAAGGATGTAAATTAAATTTGTGAGATTTTACTAAGCAACAAGATGCTAGGAATAATTTATTAGTTAAATCCTAATGATTGTAGCTTGATGGTGTAATTGTCACTTTGTAAATGAGCGCAAGGCTTTGAGAAAGAGCCGGGGAAGCTCCCTCTGCACAGGAGCTCCATGTTTCTCTGCAGACACGCAGTGCTGTGGAACACATGGAACCTCTCTGGTGTCATTTCCTGAGCAAGGGCTGTGGGAGAGGGAAGCCAATGCAAACTGTGCTCCAGCAGGACTGGACTTTGAGAGGGTTTCTCAGGAAAGTCCAACTGGCACAAAATAAAGCCACCTTGTGGGCTCTGGCCCTCACCAGTGTGTTGGGCAATGCTGCAGAGCAGGAATTCAAGGATGGTCATGCTCTCTTAACTTTTAGCTCACACTGTTGACCCAGTGCCTGGGCCACCTTGGTGAGTTTGCAGAGCATTTGCTGTTCCTTTCCAATCATGCTCCCGGGTCCTTGGTTCCTTGGTATGAGGGCAAACACTTGTTGCTACTTTTTCAATATTGATTGACTGAGAGCTGTATCCTTCCCCAAATTTCATCAGGGTTTTCTCTGGGTAGTAGATGCTTTATTGCCCTTATTATGAAGTACAGTTGCTGTATGATGTCAGATAACAGCTATGTGGGGTTTGAGGTTTTTTCAGTTTCCTTTGCCAAGTCTGAGTTCCTTGCTTCCTGGCTGAGTTGATTTGCTACCTTAATTTTTAGAAAATATTTTTTTAGTATCTGTGTGATATTATGTGTGCGTGCAGGAAAACAAGTGGAAATTTATTTCTATTTCTGACTGTAATCTATTCATCTATACATCTATGATCTCTTTATCAATCTTGCTATCTACCTGTTTATTCTTCTCTTTGTCTAAATATATGCATAAAGTACGGGGGTGTCTATTCAATAGGGCAATTGTGGTCTTAGAATTTAATTACAACCTGAGGTATCTGATGTTCTAAATTTCTGTCCCATCCTGCAGTCAAGGAGATCTATAAGACTTACAGAAAGATAGAACATCTCTAGGTAGTTTTTACCTGCTAATAGTGTTTCTATCATTGCAAGATCTGACAAGAGAGTCAAACACCACGTTATCCCAAAGGTATGTAGAACATGCAGAGCTGGCTAGGAGATTAACAAGTTTTCTGTGGAAGGAGAGTACATCTGCAAGGTTGAGGAGAGCTTTCACTGGTGTGCCACTTGGAAATGCAGATGGACTCTGTAATAGGTGCGGTGCTTTTGCTCAACAGCTGCAATCTTTTCATTGTACCTCTTTTGCTGAATTCAGATAAAAGCACTTCATAGTCAACAAATCTAATATCTGTTCTTGTCCCACTTGAAAGGGTCAAATGAAATTTCCCACCAGAGAACAAAAAAACCTGAGGCTCCCTAATGAGTTTGGGTGGCAGTGTGCCAAGAGAGAGGGGAGGGGAGGTGGTGGTGTCTGTGGTGCCTCAGCAGAGCAGTAATGTCAGTGAAGGTGAAAGGGGCTCTCCAGGCTTGCAGTCACACGACAGGACAGGCAGGGTTAGCGTGGCAGCCAGACTAGAGCTGTGAAATCGCCTCCTCCCGAGCTGCTGGGGCCCATCTTCCTCCTCAGACATTCCTGTTGCAGAGATCAGACGGAAGCTCTTTGGGGTTGCTGTCTCCTGGTGCAGGTGGTCAAGAGGCCAGGGTGCTCAGGCTGGGGTGGGAGCCCAGTGCAGAGGAGAGGGAACCTCTTGCTGACCTTGGTCATGGGCAGTGTTTCCAATGTACCTGGCTCTGCAGAGAGGAAAGGTTCAGGAAGGTGGAGGGGAGGAGAAGATGGAAAATCTATTAAGGCTCTCTCCAGCCAGGCATTGCTCAAGATTCTGGTTGGATCTCTATGCCATGCTGAGAGAAGGACTTGAGAGAAGCACCAAACCATTATAAAAATACACCCACACCTTCAACAGAGTTGCAGCATATGTTACTGAGTCCAAGACGTTTCAGACATTTCACCAAATGCAGCGTCTATAGGTGTCTGGCAGCTGAGGGGGAGAGCAGGTGTATATTTAGCCCTTTCAGGTGTGCTCCTAAGTGCATGTAAATATTTGCTAGGTCAGAGCTTCTGTGTGCTAATGAGCCCCATGTGACAAAGTGTCCATTTCCCAGGAGGCTGTGCTTTGCACACTCTCTCAATCCTCTGCACCAAACACAAAATGTTCTCCTACTTGTCTTATACTAACCCTATCTCCTTGTGTCACTGTAGAGGCAGCTCCACCTACACTGAAGAAAACAACTTATCCTGATAGTGGCAGGTCATAGGGACAGGGACATAGTCCTTGTGCAAGGCTTCCTGATATCTTCCAAGACCCCAAGCCTTGAACAAAAACCTAGAAAGAAGTTGAAGATGTGGTCAGAAATAAGACCATTTTCATCTTTCAAGATAAAACCCACTGTAAGTTCTTTGCATTTCTTGCACAGGCTATGGAATATTAAGACCTAGAGAACTGCTGCACTGTAAACTTGGGGAAAATCCATGACCTGTTAAGGGCATGGGATGGGTGGTTCTAAGCACAAAGAAGGAGGCACCATAATGAAAGGACCCATCACCAACACCCACTTCCCCTATCAGCAATTGGGCTCAGTTATGAGAATAAAAGGGACCTTGGCTGTGAATGACTTAGGGCAGCATAAATATGTATTATGAATTTTAGGCTCAGACATAATTAAATGCCATTTGTCAGATCTATGCTTGTTTTTCATCTCATTTGAGTTTTACAGAATGAATTAACTAACAAATGTGCCTCCGATTCTACCACAACAAATCATTTCTCAGAATGGTTGCCTCCAAGCAGCAGTGAGAGAGTGACTGGGGGGAGTGACCTTCTGCTGTGAAGTTGTCACATTCCAGCAGAGCCCTGAGTGGCAATGACAGCCTCAGTAATGGGGAGCCTGTAGTGGACTGGCAGTCTTGTTGATAACTTGTTAATTTATTTAGTGCAGTGGTGCAGAGGAGAAGATCTAGAGTAAAGGGTGGGGTGGGCTGAGCTGAGCCTTGGGGTTGAAATATGTAAATATTCTGGTTTTGAGAGAAAAAAAAATAATTCATTGTCACTAAATGAGGTTGGTGACAGGTGCCACTGGCAAGCAAATAGGCAACTGTTTATACCAATGCAGCTTTCGTTAGAAAAATGATACAGCAAAGGTATGGTCAGTATGTGCATAGTTTGGGTACACAGAACTGTAAGTGCTTCTCTCCCAGCCCTGTGAAAGCATATTTAGGGTGCACCAAGGGGCTGTAGTTCTGAGCCAGGAGAGTCATAGGATGAGAGACAAAGAGTCTTAGGATGAGAGACAAAGTGTGCCTTCAACAGGTGAAAGGGAGAAAGAGTTAGGTGAAGAAATCCTTTCCTTGCAGTTTAACTGTATCTTGAAGAGTTATCTCACTTGTTCCAGGACATGAAAGCAAAAGCCCTTCTTCTACTTAGTAAAATTACTATAGCAAAGGGATGGATTTGCTAGCTATGACTTAGCTATAGCTCTGAAGTGTTAATAAGTGCTAAGGAATTTGTGGGTTGTGCATACTTTAAAGGATCTGATTCAAGTGACAAGGTCCAGCCTCGGATCCATTGGTAACGTCATAAAACAGATATCCAAAAATCAAAACACTCATTTTGTTTGGAGAGTCCCACCTGTTGTCCCTAGCAGGTGGCCTTCTGCAGCTGTACTCTTCATACTGCATAGTTCATACATTTATAAAAGTGCTTTGTCATATCAGGTTAATGAAAATACGCAACGAATGCTCTGAAGTGAGCTGGAAAGCAGCACTGGCAAACTGGTGAGTCAAATGAGTAGAGCTGATAAGAGTTTCCTCTGTAGACCTCTGCAGACTTTAAAATATATGAAAGGAGATGGTGTAGAGAGTACTTAACAAATAATGTGGTGTCATTTGAAAAACAAATCCAGATGGTGATGTGAACATATCCAGCAACTTAACAATAATGCCATGTGTCTGCAGGAAAACAATAACCCCCACACAGCCCAATCCTGCAAACCTTAAGTCATACAGACTGAGTTCTCTTATAAATGAGGGGAAAGAAGCAGCAGCCGCTGGCCAGGTATCAACAGGAATACTCATAGCAAGTGTTGGATCTCACCCATGGGCACAGCCATTCTCATGGCAGGCTGAGGAAGAGCACGTTTCCTTCTTCCCCACGAGGGAAGAGATGCTCCTGGCTCTCTGCAGGCACCTGTCCTCATCTGCTGCCCCAGAGGTGTCCAGGGATCTTTTCAGCCTGCTCCCATCTTCTTTTTGCTCTTCACTGGTCCTGCATATGTCACTGCAGCTGAGCTGTGTCCTCCAGCTTCTGGAGGGTGTGGAGCACACACTGGACACCTCTGCTCTTGGACTCAGCGCATGAGAGTGCACGAGGAATTTCCCCTGAACATTTATTATCCCTGGTACCACAGTCAACAGTTGGCTGGGTAACTGAGCAAATTTACTTGAACTCTTTATTTCCCAGGTCTTATTTTTCTAAGGAAGGCAATAAATCAATGACAGGAAAAGTACTCACCAGGCAGAAATTGGGTAGCTCCATGACTTAATCAGCACTGATTAATGCCGGTTGGGAATCTATCTCTGCATTTCTTTGGAATACATTTTGGAAAGTCTGGTAGCTCCTAGCAGAGTTTTGCATGAAAAATAAATTACTTGCATATTCCTGTCTCTCCTTAACGACCATGTTCCTTGAGGCTCACACCACGTTTGCATGTAGGTGTGTACTGGTGCTCCGTGGAGCAGTGCTCCCTCCAGAGATGAAGGCAGATGGTCGCTGGAGAGCCCAGTGCCAGGTCTGGGTGACAGGAGCGGAAAGGCAAGGACAGCCACAGCCGGATGAGACACTTCACTTCCTCCCTGGCTGAGAACGCCAAAGATACGTCAGCCAGAGATGGGGATGGGGGCCGGAGCTGCGTCAGAAACAGCCTTTCTTCTGCGGGGGTGGAAGAGGAGCCCTGACTCCCGAGGAAGGTCAAGGCCGGCCAGCAAACAACCCGGGCAAGAAACCCCCAGACGGATAAACAATCCAGACATCTGGTGAGATCCCGGCATCGCTGCAATCAGGGAGGTTTTGGCACCGACTTTGACACTGCCAGGATTTCCCTTGTAATTAGCAGCATGCAGCCCGTCTGGGGAGGATGTTCCCTCCGGAAAGCTGCTGGGACCGAGCTTAATCCCTGTGAAGCAAAGAATAACACCCACTTAGTCTCTGGCCCCACCAGATAATCAGAAAAATACTAATTTGAACTCACTGAATATTAGATGCTACCGATAACTAACTACTAATAACTAACTGGCTTGGTTACTGCCCAGATTTTTTTAGGGAGCTCACAGCAGGGCCACCAGCACAGCACTGGAAGAGACTTGGAGCAGACACAAGAAGGACTCAGGGCTTGAATTACAGCACAGGGAGCATAAACCTCAGAGCATGCAGAAGTGTCTGCATACCTTCATAGCATCAGAAAGTTAGGTGGGCACATACAAGCTAGGCAAATTAAACCACTATATGACATAAAGCTCAGACTGGTAAAACTATCAGCATAATAGATATTTCAGTTCCTACACTTATCCAGCCACACACACACACACATAAAATACCTCCACAATAGGGTTTTTCTTAAAAAAAATAATAAATCTATGTTGTTAAAGACCTTAGCTACCTGTATTTGAAGATCGTTGTCTGAAAAGATGAAAACCATACATTTTCATTTCATTTCAGATTAGCATGGTAAACAGCTGGATCTGTTCTTTCAAGTGGAGCATTCGGCTCCATTTGTTAGCTTTGTTGCTGATATTTCACCTCTCTTATTTACTTAACATAGTTTGACAAGAAATTCTCAGTGAGATAATATATCTACATAAAAGACTGGCTCGGAGAACAAGTCCAGGGGTTTCAGTGGGACAGAATCAATTATTTATGTCTTTGCCATTTTGGTCTACCTTCATTCCACAGAAAGCACTCAGAAGAGCTACCCAACCAGCCGCACATTTTTGGTAGAGAAATACATTCTATTCTTAGAGAAGAAAAGGTAACATCAGTATAAATCAGAATTGCACCCACTCGCGAACAAAATCAAATGCCAAGTGATGGAAGCAATCACCCTGCAAAGCAACGCCCTCTCCCCAGCCAGGCACGATGGCCCCTGCTGCAAAGAGCAACCAGTACAAACAGAATCAGCAAATGTTCTCATTGCTTTTTACCACACAAAATTAGTTAAACTGTATAGAAGTCAGCTTGATTTCTCCCGAATAGCACAGTAGAAATGATCCTTACACAGCAACCAGCTGGTGCCAAGGAGTTTTCTGAGGCTGAAGTAAGGCAAGTGATGGAGGATACCTACATTCTTCAATAAATATCAGAAAGGAGGATTTCTTACCCATTCTGAACGGCTCAAACACATAAACCAGAGCAGTTTCACAGGCAGCCCGTTCCCGCTCAGATCAGCACACACACCCTGAAGAGACCCAAGCCACTGGAGTTTCTGTGTTTCAGCGGTGTGTGGTGGGACCATGCCAAACATCAATCCAAAGGCAGGCAGCCACGCTGTAACCAAATGCTGCCAGGCTGCAGGGACAGTGGAGAGGTTCCAGCTCCTGCAGCAGCATCACGGTAAGCGACGATGGGAAGTTTTACAACCCGTGAGCACTTTGTCAGTCAGAGGTCAATGCAAAAGGATAAAGAATAGGAAAAAAAAAAGAGGCATAAATGAAAAAATAAATAGCATAGAGAAATGAAAGAGAATGGGCAGTGAATTAAAAAAAAAAAAAAAAAAAAAGAGAGAAACCAAAGCATACTAAGAACTTACCCAAAGTAAATCCCAGGCCTTCATGATGTTCCTGCAGAAGCCTAGGTGAAATCTCCCCCTCACTTTGATGATGGAGGGTCAGATCCTTAGGAAAAGGGATAAGTTTGGACATAACAAAAAGAAAGAATGTACTGCAAAGCGAAGGAAAATAAGTGAGTGGTGCTGTAGAAAAATAACGATTTGGTAGCTAGTAGGCAATATTGTCATCTCTGCACACATCCAAGGACTTAAGTGACCCACTACTCTGGCTGAGGATCTGCTCCATTAATAATAAGAAAGAGCAATTTAAACTATGGCTTTTTTCATTGTATTTTATACAGGTTTGGGGAATACGTTATCAAAGGCTCCAATTCTGGCCAAAGTCCACAGGAATCATCACCTGTGGTCAGGCCCTGGATAGAAAGATCAGAGCTATCTTTGCGTAGCCCTACCACCAAAAACAGATCAATCAGAAGTAACTCAAAAGGAAATAGTCTACAGGGAACAGATGAAGATGCATTTAGAGGAAATAATCCCCATTCAGGTTGCCATTATTAAAAGAGCGATAACTATCAGAGCTAAGATATGTCAGGGCAACCTCGTTGACATGGGACTGGAGAACTTCTACTGTAAAAGCAGAGAAACTAGGTCAGTGCTTTTTGAAGAGAGGAAAGCTCAGGGTGGACATCATTATTTTATACATGATTCTAAGGGGAATAGCTACGAGAGATGTCAGAAAACTAGTGTCAAATACAAGAACAAATGGACAGGCTCTAAGAAAGGGAAATGAAGAGAAACTAAAGGAGGCTTGAGCTCCAGGGATATAAACATTTCTGTACACACTAAGTAGTTGATGCAAGGACTGGTTAACGGAAAGGGCTAATAAGAGCAACCAATAAGGATTTGGGAAAGGAAAAGCTTTGTGGAGTACAGCCACCTGAGAGCAGACAATTTTGTCTCTTGATCTTGTCTGTCACTAGAATTGCCCAAATTTCAATCTCAGAATTACTTCAAGGTTCACATACAGTAAATCTCTGTGCAAGCGCAATAGATTGAAGTGACAATTCAGTTTATCACTCGAAGATAAAACTCAGAAGAGCATTTGCCTTCTAATTCTGTTAATATAAATGTAATTACAAGGGCTAATTCCAATTCAAATGTTAACTTATAAGGACTGGTGGAGGTAGCAGCCTACAGAGAAAGACATGATGCTGGAATCTCTGATTCTTGCATTTGATCAATAGTTCAGTGCTAATAGACTTTATTTATGAATTGGACTGTGTGGTTTGAAAATGAGCCTAATTATTAGGCTGCATGAGTATAGACACACACAGTTTTCTAAGCACTAGAATATTTCCATGTTGTAATTGTCTCTATACAACAAAGAAAAACCTCTCTGTGGTGTTGTAACAGATTAGAATAGTCTATATTTTTTTAAAAAAAGCAGAATGGTAACTATCATGCCTGTGACTCCCAGAACATGCTGCCTTAAACACAGACCAAACCAATACTCTTTGCTGTAAGTACCAAAGATGTAAACCAGTCACTAGGGGAAAAAAAAGAAGTAGATTGAGGTAATAGCCTGGGGCAAAGGGAATTTGAAGACAGAGGAGAATCAGTGGACTGTGCAGTCTAGGGCTCTTTTAGGGCATTTTCTTATATTCCCCGAAATTTAAAGGCAGAACTTCATCTGGTAAAAATAAGCATGGCATTATTGAAGCTGATGGAGTTAAGCTATGAATTTGTTCCCAAATATATATTCTAATACTTTTAAAGGAGAAAACAAGAAAAAAAGGGTAGCAGCAATATAATAGGCACAACAGTCTCATTAAATATGTGTCAAATTCTGAGATGCTGTAAAAAGTGTGATACCAACCCTGTTCCTTGGGAATTTTCCTTGTTTAGGATATGGTTTAGGGGTGATTATGGTGGTGCTAGGTTGACAGTTGGACTAGATGACATTGAAGGTGTCTTCCAAACTTGATGAGTCTGTCATTCTGTAGTAAAGTTTTTTTCCTGTATTACCTTGGCCTGAGTATTGTCATAAACCTTCCCTCCTAGCCCAATGGTTAAACAAGAGGGATTTTGAAGTGAAAGTGTGAGGAGAAGAGAGTCTGAGTGTGCTGTAGCTCTTTCCCCTATCCATTCTGCTCAGTGGTAGCAGGAATGTGCCTGCATCTTCCAGATCACAAAAATCCCTGGCGGTGAGATGCTCAGAAAACTTTCAGATCAATTTTGAACCACTGGGATGTGATACTGAGGTGAACTGGCCCATCTCAACCACCGTTATAGCCACTGAGACATTGATGTTGACGTGGAACCAAAAATTTGTCACAACGCTGGAAAAGAGCAAGGATCAGAGAGTGAGTGATACTGATCAAAGCAGATGAGAGTCAGGAATGTTTATCCAGGAGATGCAAACTCAGACACATACCTCGGTGATCTGAAGCCGTCAGAGTTAATATGCTGTCTATTAAAATTTGTTCAAATACAGCACCTGTCACAGCACGTACAGGAAGAGGGTTTGTTAGGTCGATCTTACATGAGAAGAGCGAGGTGTAGTGGTGGGAGCTAACCCCAGCTGGCTGGCAGTGGGTGTTGTGTTATCTGTGTACCTTGTCTTCTCCTAGGCACCAAACTAGAGGTTAATGCACTACGTGGACTTTGGTTTTACTCCAATGTGACCATTTCTCACTTTCTTAATAACACTTAAATGTCTGCAGTGCTAAGGGAAGTAGCTTCTAGGAGTACTCTGCGAGGAAGGGAAATGCAGTGCTTGTGTTTTACTGGTTATCTGCAGCAGAGAAGAGGTTGGAGATGGGTTTCCTACAGCCAGAGCTCTCTATAGCTCACCACCCAGTTGCACCTTGGTGAATCAATGTTTTCAGGCAGGCAAGTGGCAGATCTTGGCAGCACAGCAGCCACAAGCCTTGTACCACTGTGCTAATGCCCTGCTGCTGTTTGGGTAGTGTATGTAGCAGTGCCATCAGGAACATTTACAGTAGATTCTATACTGAAGAAAATATGCTGTCCAGTAAGTTTTCATCTCTCACCAGGTGCTTAAAATGCCATGCCCCTATCAAGCAGCTGGGCACTCCATGGAGAGATCACAAAAGATTA